ACACACACACAAGATTTCAGCCCCACTGCACCCCCAGCCTGCTCCTGGCCTTCCTCAGCTGCCAGGAGCAGAACCAGGTCTGGCACAGTCTCGGCCAAGAGAGAGGGGATTAGGCCACAGGCAGGGGGGAAAGGGGGAGGAAGGAGAAAGGGCCCAGTCTGTTGCAGCCATAGCTCAGCACAAAGTGGCAGGAGGAGAGAAGGGGCCCGGGCTGGTGCAGCTGGGATTGCCTACCCCCTGCAAGAGGAGGGCTAGCGAGTGTAACAAACAGGGAACACAGTCCCCTAGTTCCTTTAAATCAAATAATATATACTAGTAATAAGATGAGCATTTAAAAATATCCCATTCTAACAGCCACCTTCGCATCTCTCTCCTCTCTAGCACTTGTCTTGCAAAGAGCTCAGTGTCTTTTACGAGGCAATGGAGTACCATTATCCCATTTCATAGATGGGAACACTGAAAAAGAGAGGTGGCAACAACTCTTAATTAACTAGCGAACAGTAGACAATATCATTTGAAATCTACATCTCCCTGGCATGTAAGACTCTCCAGTGCTGTAATACCAATCTTGTCTTTCCACCATGAACAAATCTGAGTAAAATGACTACAGACCATTTCCTACCAATAAGACTAGACCTCATTTTAATAGGAAAAGGAAACATTTGTGATTAAATTTCTACATTTCAAGGAGGACAATGCAAACATAAATAACTTGCATAACATCCCTTATCTTAAGTGTTGCCAATGACTTGCAATGCTACAATATACTGCTGCTCAATTGGAGGAGTCAAAATGTTATTTACCGAAAGTCTGCACTGTGGAATGCTCCTGAAGCATATGTAAAAAATTGACAGCTGTTGTCATTGGTGCATCTCTTTTGACACTCTTGGTAGCTGTTAGCTGTAGTCATATTATAATTTGTCCCTTGCATGTCCAATCCCATATGAACAACCTTGCTGCAAGCTGGGGAATACAAACAAACCACTGTTCTGAAGACATTCTGTATTAGAAGAGCCAAAGATACAGAAATTCATATGAAGCAATGTTACTTACTTGATTTTGCTGCTCTTAGTTATTTGAGTAGCACCTTATTTTGTATATAGGTATAGCCACATTCATAACACTGAGGCTATGTCTACACTACGGCCATTTCTGCACAAAAACCAGCAGAGCGTCCAAAGCTCAAGCGTGTTTTTGTGCAAAAAAAATCAACAGGACAGAGGGCTTTTGCCGGTAGTGTTATTCCTCTCCCCATGAGGAATAACTCCTTTTTGCACTACAGCTCTCGCACAAAAAGGCATGTGTTGACGCTCCGCAGGGGTTTTTGTGCAAGAACTGGCCTCCCGGAACAGGTGGCCTGTTGGACGCTCCATAGCAAGCAATCAGAACTCTATAGTTTCTGTCTGCTGGCCCTTCTTAAAGCTGCAGGCACCCTGAACAAGCATTGTGGCAGGAAGCTTGCCCACAGCAGGTTCCTTTGCCTCATGGCTCTGTTTGCCAGAACATGGAAGAGCAGGAAGGTGCCTGAGACCCCCCTGGCCCTTCCTAGGAGCCACCACAGGGCTCCCAGAACCCCCCTCAGGGGCACCAAACACCACACTCCAGCCTGGTCCACCTCCGAAATAGCGACCCTCTTCAAATCGTGGGGTGAGGAGGAGTCACTCCAGGAAGTCCGGGCCAAGCGCAGGCATGTGGACATATTCTCCCACATGGCCACATCCCTGAGGGAGCAAGGTTACCCTGCCCGGACAATGGAACAGGTCCGGACCAAGATGAAGGAGCTCTGTCAGGGATATGTTCAGGCAACAGAGCAGAGGGCTCACTCACGGGCAGGACCCTACACCTGCCTGTACTACAGGGAGCTCCCCCACATCTTGTGGGAGGGGAAACCCTCTTCCCCCTCCATCATGGTGGACTCTAGTCTGGAGCAGCCCGTAGTCCTGTGGCCGGAGCTTGTCCCAAGGAGGAGATAGAGGAGCAGGTCCAGACCCAGACAGAGGAGGAGGAGAAGCAGGACAGCAGGACCATCACCCTGTCCTTGGAGCCAGTCCCTGCCAGCCTGGACTGCTAATCTTCAGGTAAGTTGGCACCCGCACACACACAGGGTAGGGGAGGTGGGAGCACAAGGGGCAGGGGGAACAATGTCGCGCGGGCTGCTCGGCCAGCACGTGCTGCTGCAATCTGTGCACATGCAACTACGTGCAGCAGGAGGGCGTGGCACACAGGCACAGCAGCCAGCCCCTCTCCTGGCCACACGAGTCCTGCCCTCCGTAGGGTGGGGGCTCAGCCAGCTGCAAGCAGGCTAGCTACAAAGGCACAGGCACAACCCCACACATGCCCTGGAGAGCAGCACACAGCACACAGGCATGTCTGCACCTGCAAGGCAGCAGCTGCTCCCACACACAGCACAGTGAGCCACAGCTGTGTGCACACCGCAGGGAGGAACAGCTGCACAGGGCTCCTCTTCCGCCCTTCAAAAAATCCCACTCCAGCCACACACTTCCCTTACCTGCCTGGCCATGGTGTGTATTTGTAGGGGTGGGGGAGAAAGCAGGCAGCACAGGCTTTTGGCCACTTGGGGCCCCTGTGACACAGGGTGTGCTGTGCAGGCCACACATGGCCTTGCACCCGGGACATCCCCCTCCTGTGGGCTGCGGACTGGTGTAGTCACCACTCACAGAAGAGGGCACAGCTATAGGGAATGTGTGTGCAGAGAGGACTGACCGCTCCTCCCTGTTGTGTCTTCTCCACAGCTGAACCAGCCGGGACAAAGGGCCATGCCATGCCACCACAGCCACCTGCCACAGTCCAGGGATGTGGAGATGAGCCAGGCATCCCAAGGACGTCATGCCCCAGTACATCGGCCTCATGTGGGACATCCACGCCACCCTGTCGCGCAGGCTGAACAGCAACGTGGAGTAGCAGCAGCAGGCTTGGAATGACTTGATGGTGCGCTGAGACACCATGTGCAGCACCCTGTCCTGGATGGGGTGCTGCCACAGCTCCTGCCTTCCATCCTCCTGCCAACCTCCTGCGCCCATTGCCCATCCATCTGCCCACCCTGCCATGCCTCTCTTCCTCCCCAAACCATGCCTCTGCTCCCTCCCTTCCCCATGGCCATGCCTCCTCCCCCCCAAGTCATGCCTATGGCCCCTCCTCCTGCCCCCCCACCAACCCTGACCCCACTCCAGCCACCTTTCCTGCCCACCCCTTTTGGGTCCCCAGACATACCCCACCACAACGAGGTCCACACACCTAAGGGGGCGCTGCAAGCCACCCCACTACTCTTCTCAGTCCTCAGCTCCCCCCAGTCCTGATTCCCCCCTCCCAGTTCAGCCAGCCCCCCTCACCCTGCCCACCTTCTTCTCGTGTGAAATAAAGACAAACTCGTTTTGGTCTGAAACCAACCAGGTGTGTTTATTGGGAGGTCAGGGTAGGGGCAAGGAGAGAGAGGGAGAGGGGGACGGGAGAGCCTCTGTTGGGGAGGCCCTGGGGAGAGTTATCATGGGTCCTGAGAGAATCTCTCCCTCAGAGCCTTCCAGCTGATGGACCTTGCAGGCAGTGGCTGTCTGGGGCTGCTCAAAGCCCCGGCCCTCATGGGTGGCCTTTGCCACCCGCCCCGGGAGGAAGGCCTCCCCCTTGTGCTTCACTAGATTGTGGAGCTAACAGCACGCCGCCACCACCTCGGGGATATTCTTCTCCCTGACATCCAGGCGGGTGAGGAGGCAGTGGAGGCATCCTTTGAGGAGCCCAAACACACACTCCACCTGCATGTGGGCTCTGTAGATGTGGACATTGAAAATGTCCATGGCTGCATCAAGCTAGCCAGC